AGCTTGTTAGACTGTGGATCCGAGGCTCTGTGGTGTGCTCTGTTACCGCCAAAACAAAATCGCGTTCCACACTTTGCGGTCTTGGGAACGTTATAAGAGAGACAGTCCAATCCCACTATTCCATTAGAGTAGCCCACCATTTGGCAATTGGTGGTGTTGAATAGCTGCCTTCCCTCTAATTTATCACTTCAAAATTAGGAGTGGCTGGTGCGGATAGCCCTGGAATACTTTTGCAAGAAATATTAATAAACTAGTGTGTATATGACCTTATTTGAGAGGATTTATATATATATATATGCTTAGAATACAACAAATTGAATGCAAAGCTCTAACACCAAATGTTACACTAGATTAACGTTAGCTGGATTCTGACTACCAACAGACGAAGAAATACATGATTTAAAGGCGAGTAACTTCCTACTTTCGAAAATTTGTATTTGTAATGTATGTTCCTTTCATGAATAAATATCGATTTGATTAATTAAATTCCGTTCCACAAACTTTAATGTCACGATCGAAGGCATCCGATTTGATTCATTACGAGAAAATGCGATTAGGATTGGTTGAATATAAAGTATTCCCTTGAGAAATTTTTAAATAAAATAAATTAGTTGATTCCATGAACAGAAACTCTACGTGAAGTGGTTGAATATAAAGTATTCCCTTGAGAAGTTTTTAAATAAAATAAATTAGTTGATTCCATGAACAGAAACTCTACGTAAAGTCGTTGAATATAAAGTATTCCCTTGAGAAATTTTTAAATAAAATAAATTAGTTGATTCCATGAACAGAAACTCTACGTAAAGTGGTTGAATATAAAGTATTCCCTTGAGAAGTTTTTAAATAAATAAATTAGTTAATTCCATGAACAGAAACTCTACGTAAAGTGGTTGATACGCGTTGTCTTTTTATGAGGCAAACACTGGCCTTCAATGAGTTTCTTAAAGTATTAACCCAACTATGAACTTTATTCAAACCTTAAGTTTTGCGATTTTTGACTTTTTATTTTAGCATTTCAGTTATCTCAAATGTAAATGACTGGTCATACAGCCTACACTACACACACAAACACACATACATATATTACTTTCACCTCTTGGAATCTAATTCAGCATTTTGGAATGGATCACAGAATTCAAAGTACTCCAAGTAGTTTAGACCTGGAAAAGACAGGACATCACTATCATGTATGACACAACAGACTACCGCTCTCTATTGATAATAGCTAGTTATAGTCATAAGGTAAGGATCCGAAACTGTGTCAGATGTTTGGTAATCAGAACTGGATGTTGTGTTAGTGTACAGACTATTATACCAAACGCCCTGTGAGATGCTCTACCCTAATAGCAGGGCACCAAATACCTCATCTGCAATGGTGCCAAAAACACACCCAGCGGACAAAAATAAACATGTAGAGAAAGAATGTTTTCATATGAGTTGAACTTTATCCAAAAGTACAAAAACCTTATATACATTTAGAGAGAACCTGGAATCTGATCAAACTCACATTCTTATAGGAACATGATGTATATGGTGGGGGTGAAAGTATTTTATGAACAGGAATAAACATTGATGGACACACAATCTGCTGTAGAACAGTTTAATTAGTTGCAAAGTTTATATGCACTGCATCTTATGACTTTTGTGCCATTACATAATGATGATGCAAATGATCCTTACTTTAGCCTAATGAATATGAAAATGCCTAAGTAGAGTAGCTTCAACATTTACCAGACATCAGTTCCATCAAGCATGTGTAGAACGTCTTTGGAGACTTTTCACCTTCGTTCAAGTGACTTAAGTTATCACATGGCTGGATAAGGATAACTTTGGACCTTATCTACACTGATTCTAAGCATGTAATATTCGTATCATGCTTCTCTTGTAGTTCTTGTTGATCGTATTCCATATTGAAGTGAAATGTTATGAATTGCAACGATGTAAAACTGCATCTACCAAACGTTTACTTGCATTTTGAATCATAAGATTGGTCATTAGATATTGCATTTGCATAAAAAATTAGCAGAGGGAGATTTTCAGAATTTATAATTATAATTCTTTTTTCAGTTGTCAAAATAAAAGGCTTTCACTTATATTTCTTACTAGTATAAATATATATTGTGTTGTTGTTGGTCTTAGGATTCTTCTACAGTATCTGTCTGTTACTTGTTGGCGATAAATTCAACGATAACTGAACAGTACGCACTTCACTTGTTTTCAAAATAATATATATATTCGGAACAAGTTAAACGTATTTACAATAAATTCTTCACACTATACAGATTATAGGCATATCATAAACACTATATATAGTTCTCTTCTTCTTGTCAAAAGTCTACATAGGCCTATTCAATTACTTTAGAATTTCAGTTGACAAGCCAAACTATCTTCTCCATTACTATCGCACTAGTATTCTGTGTGTGATTCATTTACAATTGTGGCGCAAGTTACAGATAATCGTTTGGTCTTTTTTCTTCTAAATATCCTCTGTTCCTTTTGTCAAAGTACACTCAGGCTGATTCGGTTACTTTAGAACCACGCTTTGACGGAATAAATTATTTTTATTTTCTCCTTTTCTAATGTTAGTCTTACTGTAACATATTAAACGCTAGGCCTATGTCAGTCGTTAGGCCTATCACTTCTACGATAGTTAACTTCACGCCGAACTTTTCCTTGCCCATAACTTTACTTTCTTGTCTATCTGCTGTTTTCGCTCGTCTGACACTATTTATATTTTTAGCACTTAATCGTCTGGTCTTCTAGAAATCTCTATATTCTCGAAGTCAATGTAGTGCACGCGACGTTCGATAGTTTCAACATGACTTATAAACAAAACTTCCTACAATCGTCTGCTTTTAACTCTTATTATAACAAAAACTAAACAATAATAGAATATTCACTCACACATAATAAACTAATCAATAATATCTAAACTAAACCTTCTTTTATATCATGACAGTAATGGATGATATTATTTTATGGCATTGGTTTTGCCTCTCCATAGCTATAATGTTGCAATTTCGGAACATTCTCTAATTGTTTCAAGCACTGTATATAAATTATGACACTAACCTCGACGTCTTTGATATACAGAGGTTGAGTACATTGTACTAAAATGAATTTATCAATACAGTCAATGACGACACATCCGGTCATGCTCTATCAGAATGCAAAAGACTGTCATGTCTAAAGCAAACCATTCCTCAATGCATGCTTTCCATTAATCATCTAATGTTGAGAACGATGGTCTCCCAGTCCAATAACACAGATATCCATAGGTGACTTGACCACTTTGTCTTTGCATGGAAGAGCATGAATGTCCTTTTCATTCTCCAGCTAACTGAGTATGCAACTTTTGAAAAAGTATGTCGTGGAAGCCACTTCTGTACACGTTATTTGTGTCGTTTTTGTAGACGACAAGTCTTTTTGATTATGTTATTTCCTGTTGCCTGTGACACATGGACGAATTCTGTCACTGACCTTTCTGTTCGTGGCTTCTCACCTGTTACAAGATGCCGCCCTTTGCAAACCACGACTAAAGAAGGACTTGTATAAAATATTTTTGAATGGTCCTGATTCTCCAAAGTGATCCATATTTCCTTTCTTTCTAATGCCATTAAGCATAGGAATACTCTCGTCTTGGAAACTGTGTGTCTATGATCTGAACACATTTTTACGATCTGAGTGCATGAGTATTTTGCGTCGGAAAGAGCTGTTGCATATATAACCTAAAATTGATAAATTTCCCGTTGCATCACATTACCTATAAAATTCCAAACAATAGTAAACGGTTTTGATACAAGCCGTTCCTCCATAACTTTATATTGGCTGTTGTTTTCATGTGTCTAACCGAATTTGCGTATTTAAAGTCGTTTTAATATAACGTACTCGACCTCTGCATAAGGTACCAAACAGTACTACTAACCTATTAACATAAAGTGAAAGTTGTAAACAACATCGTTAACAAACAACAAAAAGTAGTAAATAGCATCCTTATCACACAACAGAAGGTAGTAAATAATGTGATAAGCACAAACAGAAAGTAATAAATAACATCATTAGTATACAATGTAAATTAGTAAATAACATCATTAATTTACAACAGAAGAAAATAAAAAATAATCTATAAACAACACACATTTTTTCTTTCTGTTGCTCGGTATCAGTTCACATTAATTCTTGGTCTTCAAGCTCAATTAAAAGTTAAAACAATTCATTATATTCGCAGATTTCAGTGTACCCGGTATTATGGATTTATGTAAGTTATTAATACAAATATTTAAGATTCGAAACTCCTGTGTTTCGTTACTTTAGCATTTCAGTTATAATTATGATTTTTGAAGGTCGAGACATACAGTAAAAAAAAAAGACTCTAAAGGTGGTTTTATCAAAAATATCAGGCCTATTGAGTTTCAGCCACCAAGTTAGTTTTACAAAAAAATGTAAGTCCCTTGGGCTTTAATTATCATTACAGTTTTAAAGTATACTGGAAACTACAATATAAACTGACTTTCATCACCAATATTAGGCCTAGTGACTTTCAATTATCTTTACAGTTTGATGAACGTTGCAATCTAAAGAGAGTTTTACCACCTATATTAGACCAATTTGGTTTAAATTATCGTTATAGTTTTGAATGCCGAAAACTTCAGTCTAAAATTAGTTTATACACTAATATTAGACTTAGATGTTTCTGTTATCATGAACTTGCAAAGATTCAAATAATGTGGCATGAAGAAAAAAGTTGCATTCAATCAGCATAGCAAAATTATGTAATGATGAGCAGAACGTTTCACCATGTGTAAATCCACGTCTTGAATGACGAAATAATACCAGTATTTCAAAGTTAATAATAAATTAAATTTACTATCGAATATTACTAAATGGGTTTGGTCAACTTCAAAGCAATCTTTATATATTATTTAGCAATAATATTCGTCACTGATAATTGTTACTGTTTCGTTAGAAGAATAATTTAGTGATTTATTTTTTTTATACAGGCATCTGTCTATTCTACCGCTGTCAAGACTTTAATAACAGTCTCAACTTTGATGTTAATGTGGCTTGTTGTTGCCTACCACGCTCTTGAAGTTCAGGTATCGTCAAGTTTATTTTGTTATTGTTTTTTTTTTCATTTCCTTTCTGAATTGTCTTCATCTTGCTCTTAGCGTTATTGGTCTATTCTTCCTTACTAATAGTTAAGACATTTCAAAAATGTTTGATCTATTAAATATTTTACTTTATACTCAATAGCTAGTTCTAAATTTGCTCAATAAAATGTTTAAAACAGGAAATATGTTGAACCTCTCCTTGGGCATCGTGGGGGAGAATACATGAGTATTTTGTTGTTATTGTTTTGTATGTGTATGTGGGAAGGGGTTGTTTTGGATATTTGCACAAAGCTATAGAACAGCTACCTGAGCTAACCGGTCTTGAGTTTTTAACTGACAGACTAGAGGAAATGCAGTTCCATTAGTTAATAACATCAACCACCGACTTTGAGTTACTCTTATCGAGATCGTCCATGGTTCCAAGGTGCGAAGCTCGTATTTGAGAGAACGGGATGCGAAACATAGACCTTAGGATCTACAGTCTTTCATGCAAACCACTCGGGCACACCCGGTCCTGGGCAAAAGTTGAGAAAATTGTTAGGTTATTGGTAAATACACTAAGAGCTGAGCCTAATTGGAGGAACTACTGCGTAAATCGTAGTTAATTATTTTACTAATATAGACGTATGTCCGGAGACAAGACGTACTTGGGTTTTACTAGATGAATATGCCTTAATTGATTACAAACCCAAAAATTTTACCACAGACACATCTTCCATGAAAATATATTTTACTTTCGGTTTCATTCCACAGTCGTTCTATTTCTACTTATTGTGTGTTCCATATGCGTTCAGTGCAGCCTAGTCTACTCATGCCCCCCAGTGGGCAGATCACAGATAGCCCATTGTGTAGCTTTGTGCTTAACTTCAAACAAACAAACAGTCTACTCATAGATACCGTTGCGTAGGGTAATTTATTGATATGTATCCCACAGTACCCAGTTAGCCATTATTTACCCTATTGTATAATAAAATTTAGCACAACGTTGCTCAATAGAAAGTACGAAACAATCCCAAGATAAAAACGTTTATTCATCCTATTATTCTGAAATAAAGACTTAAATTAATCCAACGCAAGTATTGTAGTTAGCGTAGTATACGCTTACACAACACACTTAAATATGCTGAATATATTTAAATTTGTAAGATAACCATAAGATGTTTATTTTCCGATTTCTTCAACAAAAAATAATAAAGCTGATTTATTATTATCATTTTACGTTTCTGGTGAGTTTTGTTTTCCTTTCTGTTTAAGCTTTCGGGCGACTGATAATGAATTAGATAATGAATCACAGTGGATCATACATTATCATTATGTCATATATATATTGATTTTTCACATTTTATTACCATAAAAAAGCTATAAATTTTACGTCCCTCAAACCCACAAAATTCACGATGTTTTATCATTTGAGCACCCCTTTAACAGCTACTAACCTGTCTGGTGCCTGTGTACTTATACTTCCAGTTTTCTTACAAAGCATGCTGGGTTTAGCAAATCTCATATTCAAGCGTTGTCACATACGTTTGTATGAATAATATGTGTGTGTGTGTTTGTGTGAATACAAGCTTATAACAGGAAAAAAAGAGAATAATAATTTAGAACTCTGTTAATAGTATCAATGAAAATAGACGTTTAACAGTTTTACTGAGCAAACTTGGAACTTTTTTTTACTTGTATACGCTTTCCATGGCTGAAATAGAATAAATTAGAAAATTACTTATTTGTGTTAATCATTTTATTAACACTATGAAATGTGTTTTCTCAAGCCCAAAAATACAGAAAATGTCGAATTTCTTGAAGTACAGAAAAAGATAGATGGGTGGATAGGGGGAAGGAAGTTTTACTTACGCAGATATTTTTAAACATATTATTACATACACACACATATATAAACAAGTGGTGAGCCTTGCCCTGACAGTGAACAGGGCCCGGCTAGGCCAGGTGGTTGGGGCACTCGACTCGCAACCTGTGAGTCACGGGTTCGAATCCCCGTCCCACCAAACATGCTCGCCCTTTCAGCCGTGGGGGCTATATAATGTGACGGTCAATCCCACTATTCGTTGGTAAAAGAGTAGCCCAAAAGTTGGCGGTGGGTGGTGATGACTAGTTGCCTTCCAGCTAGTCTTACACTGCTAAATTAGGAACGACTAGCACAGATAGCCCTCGTGTAGCTTTGCGCGAAATTCATAACAAACAGACAGACAGACAATGAACAGTAAGGAATGATATCACCTTTGGAAAGCACAACATAATCTGTGTTACACGTGTGTGAATAAAAAGCCCAGGCATTTTTAAGCTAACACTATTATATTTACCATTCTCTTCTAAATTCAATAAAATTTAATACGTCCTTTTGTATTTCACAAAATCTTTATTCGTATTTATCGCAAAGCTACTTGGGCTATCTGCCGCCATCTCTAATTTTGAACTAATGGACAGAGGAAAGGCAGCCCCCCCCCTACCACCCTTCCTCCACGTGAAAGGATTGAGTGTTATTTTCATAACGCACACACAGCTTAAAGTTTCAGGAATTGTTTGTGGTATCGCACGGATTCGAACCTAACTCACTATCTCCGAAATCTAGAGCTCTGCTGCAGGGCCAGTCCCCCCGTGTGTCAGCGGTAAATGACAGGGCTCGATTCCACGTGGTGGACAAAGCGCATATAGCCTACTGTGTAGCTTTGTGCTAAAAACAACAAACTAACTAACAAACCAAAAATCCAACTCGTTCCCCTTCACAAAAATCATCATTCGAATACCTGTTTGATGACAATTTGCAGTCTTGTGAAGATAACCCTATGTGCACAGGTGGAAGTCAAAGTATGCATACCATGACCTTTAAAAGATTGCCATTTAACATAGTATTATGTATTCGATATCAGAGTTATCAAGTATTCATTTTACCCTACATCGCTGATTTAACGACAATACATGATAAAGGAGAATAAATGCCAGGGACTATACATGTGGTTACTGAAAAGAAACTGTAGATGCATTTTGGATGTTCTAGAAGTTATGCAAATATAATATGCAAACTGTATGATGGACAAAAGTAGTTTTATTCATCACAAGAACTTGGCTGATTCAGATTGTTTGTAGTTAAGCACAAAGCTACACAAAGGGCTAATTGTGCTTTGCACACCACTGGTATCGAAACCGGGTTTCTAGCGTTGTAACTCCGCAGACATGCCGCTGTGCCACTAGTGGGCGTCTGATTCATTCAGACTGATGTCGACAATACACAGACATGTCTTAAGTACAAATACTTTGTAACACACGTGATTTTTTATTTTTTGTGTATAACATAATTGTATATTTGATTAAGAGGTTTGCCACATTTTCTGTAAATACACACATAGTAAATTCGGAATTATTTTGAACATTCCTTCTCCAATGCGGAGTCGGTCCATTCGAATAACTATTTATTTCTGTTGTTTATCTTAAGAATGGTATTTCCATTGTCGTGATCTCGTCAAATATAACTGCAGTTACAAGTTTATTGTTGTTTTGTTCTGAAATACACTAGTCAAAATTACGTCATTACCACATTTAAGTAGAATGTTTATTAACTGCCTTTAGAAGACTTATATAGTTTTTTAAGTTTCGCCTTGACCTAATGATAAAGGTTTATCATAAAGCAACCATTTACCTAAGAGACGAAGATATGAAACAATGGTGTATTTACAGACGAACACAATATGGGTTACGAACCTACAATACGTGAAGTGACAAAAGGGGTAGCATTCAAAATGTGGGCTTTTAAACATGCCTTGCTCGATGCTTCTTTTTATTCAAACGTAGATAATGAAAATTTAACGTTGTTACAGAAATTAATAATCACTGTACAGTATGAAATAGGTAAATATTTACAATACATTTTATAAAACTAAGAACTGAAATTTTTAGATTAAAAAAAAAAAAATAATCATTTCTAAACAATGCAAGAAAGTTCTTGAATAACTAAGCACATAATAACAAGTAGTCAAACAACGATTTATAAACATAATGAAGTTATTTATTTATTATGGAACATGTTACATGTTTCAACATAACATTGATCTTGTGTAGAAACATATAGTATTTTCCACTATAAATAAATCACTTCATTATGCTTATAAATCGTTGACTATTTATTATTAAGTCAAATAAGTATTTTGTACAATTCAGATTTCCCTTTGTCACTGGGTGTTATATTATAATAAATTGGTAATATTGAGATACTTTTTTGAACCATCATCGAATAGAAACGTTAACTGTTAGTGCAATGTAACTGATAATGTTTATTGTCAAGTTTACATATTTAACTCTCACCTATCTTTGTAATTTTTTTTTTCATATCCCTTAATACAGTTCCAGTACCTTCTGGTAACTCTTTTCTTGCGCTTTGGATTCCCAAGTTCTGCATGTTTAAAAACAAATTAGCTTCTCGAGGTAAAAAAGATGATGAAGAAAAACGAGTCTCTACTTGAATCCAAAAGAGTACTTGGCATATAACATGGTAACATTCCTCTTTAGAAAGTCAATATTTACTCACCCAGCTCCTGCGGGGTTAGGAAGTATCCGGAACTGAGATAATGGAAAGTATTTACACAGTGAACAAAACCTCCCGATGAGTTACATCATAACCAAAGTTCAAGCATTTACCACGATCACGTGTCCGGGTTCATAAGAAACAACTGTGGAATTAACAGCCTTTTAACACGAGATGTCGCTAAGATCGCATGCATAACTATACCTCCTCTGAGAAGAGCTAGAAATAGAATTTCATAATAATACTTGTGGTGTTATCTTTTGAAAGGTCAGAGGAACTAATATCGTCAAGATCCTATAATCTGTTTAAACATACTCTTCATTAAGCTTGGCTGACTTTATTGTCGATAAAGTAAAGTTTAAACAGTGTGTTGTTTAATCATTTACTTATCTGTTTCAGTCAGCTCTTTGAAAGCTGGAATAAAGTAAGGTTATTATAGATAACATACTTA